CCGTATTTTCCGTATTTTTATCGCCCATCATTCTATCCCTATTCCTCTATGTATCTACCCTAGCTCCAGAGCCCATACCTAGCCCCATACATCCTCCCCATACCCTGCATCCAGCTATCCTAGCCCTACTGCACAATTACCCCCCATTTTCCTACCCTATCCTACCCCCTACCCCATCCCCTACCCATCCCCAAACCACCCCCTACCCCGGGGCCACACCCCATACCTACCCACCCATTTTTTCACGCATTTTTTGCCTATTTTTTCGCCCATTTTTCCAGCCAGAATACCCACCAGCACCACTGCTCTTTAATAAAGAGCCCTTATTAGCATGGGCCAGTAAGATGATGGGCTCTCTGTATAGAGTCCCAGTCTTACTACAGGCACTCTTTATAAAGAGGCTACATCATCTGGTGCTTTGATCCCGCCGATCCTTCGAGCTGGAGCGGCGACATTTCTAAGCGCCCAAAGGAACTCGTCGTTTATCCCGAGGGTGAGGAGATGATGGACATCGTGGTGATGAGTATGATGATTGCGGAGAGGTTGAGGTTGATGTTGCCGTAGTGACTGATTTTTCTCTTTCGAACCTATGAAGTCCTCGAAATAATAACAGCTTTTGGGGGACGTAGTAACATCGGTTGTTGGTTGGTTGTTGGTGCTGTTATTTTAATTCATGTACTGCATCGTGCTGTATGTGGCTGGGCCACACGAGCCATGTTGAACGTGGTGTGGCGTATCGATCGGGTATGACCGGGATCGAGGCCACTGTTGAGCAAGGAATGTTCTCTCCTGTCCTCTTGCCCCCACCTAAGTACTGGGCTTGTTCCCCAAATGTTGACCGTCCTCTCACCTCACAGATCTGTTTGCTTCTGTAGTGACGGCTGATAGGTACGTGATCAATACACATAGTCTGGCGGGAAGGAGTTTCAAGACTCGACGGCTGGTCTCCCAGCTGAGACTCTGCCCATCTGGAAAAACCTATCTCGAAATGGCCTGTCCTGCACCATCAGCGCTACATCACCCGCAATAATCGAATCTGTCATATGTTGACAGTCTACGCCAAAGACTATGATTACTCCAGGCACCCTTTCAGCCTAATGAAAAGCATACACTCAGTTGGATTTGTTTGCCACTTTTCGCCCATATGTTACAAACATTCGGTTCCACAAATGGTGGCTGCGAGATCCTCAGTTGGTGCAAGGATCCAAGGAGGATTTGCCGACCATGCCTGTTAAGTGTTTCCATCCTTCCTGACTTGAGAAAACCTTCTACTACAGAGGGTGTCATAGTCTCAACGATTTCCTTTTCAGTACCCTTCATCCCGTGTTGCACGCTACTAAACATAAACAGGAAGCAGTATAACAATACGCACTTCTTCTCGTGCGTTTCATCACCGAGGCGGTCCCTATCTAGACGCCAGTCCAGAGTCTTGCTCACTACTACTACGCATACAAATAGTGGAAGTATCATGGAGGATTTACTGCGCACTCGACTTGAACTTCCCTCTCGTGCTTCATTGTGCTGACTTCCTTGTAGTTCTACCTATGAGAGGTTTCCGAAACTCGAACTCTAGCATCTTGCAACCAGAACTTGCTTCTCGAAACTTTAGAAACTCGGATGTGCCCTCATACTTGACAGCTCCCCCAAGGTCAGTACATTCACTTATAGTACACTGTTTCCAAGCCTTGCCGAAGACGTAGAGCTCATTAAGAGATGTATCCTATAAAGCTATAGCTCCGAAGAATGGAGCCCTGACCTGGATCATTCAGATGCAGTTATCGATGATCATCGTACCGTCGCGAACGAAGAGGCGGATCCTGACAACAAGCACCCCACACAGACATACGAAGAGATTCGTTCACCCACTTCGACACCCACTCGTCACGAAACGCTCGTGGACGCGAAGACCCCACGATTCGCGTATGCTACTCATCCACGAGTATCACCTAGTGCTACATCCAACTCTATCAGCGGCAATACCAGCGGGAGCTACATGGCTGTCCGAGATTCGCCCACCGCCTTACATGCTGCACTACCTTTTCCGTCGAATGCAGTCACCATAGGGTGGAACGCGCCAAACTCTGACACGGCTGCCGGGAGCAACGTACCAATAAGATATATTTTGTCACCACACTCTCCCAACTTCATACTCGTTCTTCCTTCTTCAGATGCCGCAGACACCCGCCCTTTATACCGGATCTCGGTGAACTCAAATTGCTTCATCCCATCCTCGTACGTGACAACCATCAGAAGAGGTGGGAGTGAGGATGGAGAGTTTGCGGGCGACTTTGAGTACGTGATGTCCACAGATTCCAACCTATCCGTTAACATCATTCCTCTGATGCGTTACGTGACATAGAATAGGCGATTCACGGGCCAATTGGACTATAACCATCGGAGAACGTCAGATGCTGCTGCGAAACATCATGTCGCCGAAGGTGGGGGGTCCTCACGTCCGCGCCAGTTTACGGACCAATGCACGTTCTACACCCATTGCGTCCCTGGTATGTTTGGCTCAAATCGCTCATTTGATCGGAGAGTGATATTAGTATTGTAGACTTGGGATTGCACCAGATGATGTAGCCTCTTTATAAAGAGTGCCTGTAGTAAGACTGGGACTCTATACAGAGAGCCCATCATCTTACTGGCCCATGCTAATAAGGGCTCTTTATTAAAGAGCAGTGGTGCTGGTGGGTATTCTGGCTGGAAAAATGGGCGAAAAAATAGGCAAAAAATGCGTGAAAAAATGGGTGGGTAGGTATGGGGTGTGGCCCCGGGGTAGGGGGTGGTTTGGGGATGGGTAGGGGATGGGGTAGGGGGTAGGATAGGGTAGGAAAATGGGGGGTAATTGTGCAGTAGGGCTAGGATAGCTGGATGCAGGGTATGGGGAGGATGTATGGGGCTAGGTATGGGCTCTGGAGCTAGGGTAGATACATAGAGGAATAGGGATAGAATGATGGGCGATAAAAATACGGAAAAATACGGAAATAATAGTAGGAATGCTAGGATTGGTATATCAGGTACTGTGGGGGTGGATTGGTAGGGGAAATGGGGTGATCTGGGGG